AATAAATCAAAAAATTAGCTGGGCGTGGTAGCGCGCGCCTGTAATTCCAGCTACTTGGAAGGCTGAGGTGGAAGGATCGCCGGAGCCCAGCGGGTCGAGGCTGCGGTGGCCGGGAGCGGCCACTGCACTCCAGTCTGGGCGACAGAGTGAGACACTGACTCAAAAAAAAAAAAAAAATTACTTCTATTTCCATGTTGTTCTTTTTTCTTAGTAGAATTGTTTCTTGAAGAAAACCACTCCTTGATGGTGGCTCTTTATGTTAAATTTTGTGCACTCTGTAACATCTTTTGTCATTGTAGTCCAGTTTTCCTAATTGTTTTGTTAACATGTTATGAAATATTGAAAATTTGAATATGTAGTTAAGTGATATTAAATTATGAATTGGTGGGACTTGTGTAACAGCTTGTCAATATCCGAGGATAATGACACTTGATTATCCTCTTTTTTTTTTGAGTAGGAGTCTCACTGTCTCACTGTCGCCCAGGCTAGAGTGCAGTGGCACATTCATGGCCACCGCAGCATCAACCCACTGGGCTCAGTGGATCCTTATGCCTCAACCTTCCAAGTAGCTGAAACTACAGGTCCACACTACCATGCCCGGCTAATTATTTATTTATTTATTGTAGAGACGAGGTCTCATCAAGTTGCCCGGTCTGGTCTTGAACCCACAGCCTCAGGCAATCCACTCTCCTCGGCCTCCTAAAGTGTTGGCATTACAGGCTGAGCCACCGAACCCGGCCAAAAAAAAAAAATTTTAACATGACTTGTAGATAGAATTACTGGAGACTCACCACAGTGAAGGCATGCTTTACATCCAAGATTTTATCTTGTATTTAGTCTCTATTTATTTTTTCTCTTCCTCTCTCTCTCTCTCTCTCTCCCTCCCATTCCTCACCCCACCTTCCTTCCTCTCTCTGTCTCTCTCACCTCTTCCTCTCCCCACTTCCTTCCTCTCTTTCCTCCCCCCTCTCTTTCTCACACCCATATACCCTCCAGTACTGGTCTGTTCCCTGGGAGAAATAAAAGAGATTATAGTAACCGTGCTTGTTGCAATGTTTGCATCTCAGCTGTCTTTACAGAAGTTTTTCCAAGCAGTTAGGCAGCTGTGATGCTGAGATTGGATATGGATGTTAAGCATTGCTTCCTCTGGCAAAAGGCCTTCACTAATTAAGGGTCAAGAGATAAACGTTATTAGTGATATGGCAGTGTATATGACTACTCCCTTCCTCCTCCATCACAAAAGGATTCTGACACTGTTG